CCAGAGCGAGGAATGCGGGACCGCCTAAAGATAGGCCTTTTTCTCAAACGATGGAAAATTACACACTCAGAGGGGGATTACAATTCCGCCTCCGAAATAACCGCCGCGCTTTTGGATTCATCGCACACATATGCATACGCAAACACACACACGCACACACACGGACGCAAATATGGCGACGCCTAGCACGCGATTCGGCTTAGCGACATTTCCACTCACAACACACACACTCACAAAACAGAAACAAAAAACGGAAAAAAAAATTCTACATGATTGGGTAAAGGAAAAGAAACGAGGTGGGATGTGTCGATTGTACCGCTAATCTGTTCGCCATAAAAGGAGGATTTGGGGGAGACGGAGATGAACCGCGTGGGGGCGAAAACACACCTACACCGACACGCACACCCACACACACTCACGCACGCACACCGACACAATGTACGACAAAGGGAAGAAGAGAATGGCTTTCCGATTCGACGTAGGATAGAGCGGCCGCATCACTTCGGTTGTAAATTTCCGACTGATGGTTTTCCTTTATATTTCTCCGTATTTTTCTCTCTCTCCTCGAGCCGCCAGAGCCGCCCCTTGCGCGGACGGAGACGGACGAGGGGAGCAGGGGGCCGCCGAGCCGAGCCGAGCCGCCCGGGAGCGCGCGGGCCGGGCCGAGCCGAGCCGGGATACCGCCGATGCCTTACCGCCCTGCCGCGTTTAGATAGCGTTGCATAAGTGGGATGAATGGAAATGGATATTTATTTGCTGGCCGCCCGTGCCGTGCCGCGCCGTGCCGTGCCGCGCCGTCTCCCGGCCTCCCCGCTGCCCCAGCCATCGCCTACTCGCCCCACTCGACGGCGGTACGCCGTGTCCTAATCCACTTATTGGGATTGTATTGACACGTGTGCGTAAAGTGAAATAAATTATGTCGCCGGGCCGCGCTGCGAGTGCGAGAGAGCGCGGCGATGGTGGGTGGCGTAGCTTGGCGGCGTGGCGGCCAATACGGCAGGACGGCTTATCTGATGAGCCCGGCCACTTTACCGGAAACACGTAACACGTTCTGCAGTTCTTTCTTTCGGTCCTCGGCTCGCCGCGGCTTGCCGGCCCTCTTATGATAGACCGACAGCGAGCGGAGAGCGCCGAACGCCGAGCGCACTGCTGCACTGCACCGCTCGCTGGCGAGCCGCCGGAGCGCCCGCCAAAGAGGGGATAGGCCAGCCCGCCACGCCGCGCGCCGCGACAGAGCGGCCTACACTGCAGGCTGCGGCGGGGTACCATTACCATTAAGGGCTGGGGCCGCACTTGCGCTGCAGCACTGCCACCACGTCGCCAACCGTGAGGGCCAATTAGGATTATGGCCTTCTTTTGTCGGCACACCGGAATTAACATCCAGCATTGTCCGGCGGCGTCGTTGCATTCGCAGTGTAGTGTAGCGCGGCCTTGGCGAATCGAAAGTACGAAAATCGCGCAGTGCCGGCTGGGAATCGAACCAGCGTCACGCAGAATGGGGAGGGCGGAAAAGCAAAACGAACGAATAAGAAGAGGATTAGAAAAACACACGAAACTGCGAAAACGGTCAAAACGGAACACAAAAGACTTTCCCCGCGTTGACGACGCGCACGTGACCGCTTAGGGCGGGCGGCATTCCCTCAGGGAGCCAAGCGCGCCGAGCGATTCCGTGGCTGCGGTTTTGAGAACGGCCAAACGGCCGAGGCGGCCAGCCAGCAGCCAGCCAGGCGGCCAGTCGGTAGCCAGCCAGCGGGACGGCCGCCGCATATCAAACATGCGCGGCAGCGGTAGGCAACAGGCAAGCCACCAGTCGAAAACTGGCGAAAAAAGCCGAGGGGGGCCGAGCCTGGCCGAGCGAGGCTGCTGCACCGGCCGGAGGTTTTCGGCGGAGGCTGTTGCGGCCCGACCGCGCTGCGCCGAGCGAGGTGGACGACGTGGACGACGTGGCCGTGGACGCGGACGTGGGCCCGCGCACGAATGGCCCCTTGATTCGGGATTCGGGGTTGGGGCTTTTCTCGAAAGGCAAAAACAATTAACAAGGGTTCGGGCGTGGCGGGGCGGGGCGGCCCGAGCCTGGCCGAGGGCCTCGCACACCGGCATTCGATTCGACTGGCCGCCCCGCCACGCCACGCCCCGCCACGCACCGCCACGCATTTCGGCTTCGCGCCACGCGTCATTTCTTTCCATTTCATTTTCATTTCCGGCCGATAATCCGCCTCATTTGCAGGCAAAGCGGCAACTAAGTAGACAAAACGGGTCCACGGGCCGGCCGCCTGGCCGCCTCGCCGGCCGAACGGTGTTCTCGCGGCGCTGTCTCTCTCGCACGCGTGCGGCGCGCCCCGTGCGTGCGAGAGAGACAGCGCGAGGCAGCGCGAGGCAGTGCAGGCAACGCGAAGCCCGTCGTCGTGATTTACGGCGCATTGCCGGCAATCTGCAAGCGGAGGCGGGGAGGGGGAGGGAGGAGGCGTTCAAGCCGATGAGGACTTCGAACGGCGTAACGGGCCGGCCGAGGGAGCACACTGTGCGGCGCCGTGCGGACCGACGACGACCACGGCGATGATGACGTACAAGCCGCGCGTACGGCGTACGAGAAAAACAATCTTTTTACGACGAAAAACGGGACCGCGCCGGCAACAACATTTTTAGAGCCGATGTCCGTCGGTGTGTTGGTCGCGGGTGAACGTCGCGGAGAGTGTGTTCGTCCCGAGCCGTCGTCGACGACACTAACTGCATCGCGTTGACGCGGAGCAGGCGGAGCCGCCACGCCGCCGCCACCGGGGCGCCGAAGTGACGGGGCTGCAACGCGCTGGACTGGACGGCCGACGTACTCTGTGCGAGGAATGTGCGGCACGGACGCCACGCCACGCCACTGGCAAGCCACGCCACTGGCACGGGCTTAGCGCCGGCATCCCCCGAAGCCATTCCCGAGTCAGCAGGAGTAGTACTGAATCGAACGACGCACACGCACACACAGACACGGGCACACATTTTTACCATTCCGATGACGTCGCCCTGTCGTCCTTTCCCCCGCGCATAACCTTGGCTAGTAACGAGGTGCTCGGGTGCCTGACCGCGACAGCCGCGACCCCGATTCCGATTTCGCGCCTCGATCAGTGGGATGCCTTCCGGCCGCCTTCCACTGCCTGCGGCTGCCTTCGCCTGCCGGTGTGTCGGTGTTGGAGAGGACCAGGCCGCCTGGCCTCCTGTCTGGCCGCCTGCCTGCCTGGCCGCTGCCTGCCCGCCTGGCCGCCAGCCGTCCAACTAGCGGCCGTGCGGGGGGTCGCTGTTCACGCTCGTTCGAACGCGGACGACTTATACCAGGGTGGCGGTGCTAAATAATCCCACACGGGAACAGGAAGTCTCTCTCGCACTCAAGGCGCGTTCCGCGAGGGCGCGAGAGAGAGACAGAGGTACCCGCGCCGCTCGTTCTAGAAGCAGAGCGAGCCGAATAGCACGGCGACGAAATTAAGGTCCGCCGTTGGTTGCGGCGGTCGGGACACTCTCCGGAACACTCCACTCCGGGACGGCAGCGCCGACGACAGTCTCATTGATGAGAACCGAACCGAACGGTGGAGGCGAGTCTGACCGTACAGGGCAGGCCGGGGCAGGCCGGGGCAGGCCAGGGGCAAGCCAGAGTAGTATCACCAAACAAACAGGTTCCTGGCCGAGTTGACATCGCATCGGCCCGTTCCTCGTTCCATTCCGTTGCAGGCCGAGGCGAGGGCAAGGCGAGGGCCGAGGCAGACAGCGAGAAGAGCCAGCGCAGCCGCGGGGCTAGCCGCAGGGCTGTGGGCAAAAGGGCTTCCCCGCTCTACGAACGACGTGGGCCGCACTCTCTATCCCTTGGTGGGAGGATTTCACGACCAGAGGGATCATCTGACGCAGTGCGTCGCAGTGTGCCGGGCAGTGCAACGCAGTCCGTGTCGCGCCGAAAAAGGGTGCCGCCTCTTCATCAAATTCTCATAAAAGCGCGCGCTCGCGGTGTGGGCCGTTTGAAACGCAGCCCTGGCCGGACGCGGCGACAAGGCGACGCGGCGACGCGGCGGTGGGCCCAATAAAAACCAGGTGAGGGCAGGGCGGGGCGTGGAGGGACACGGCGGGACGCGGCGGGGTCAAAGGACAGGGGACACTCTCACGCACACAGACGCAGGGAGGAAGCGGCTCGGAGCACTTCCCGAAAACAGGGCCAGATTACGGCCCCTTCACGGTACGGGTCGGGGTGGGGAGGGGACGGCTGGACGGCAGTGGACGGCAGCGACAAGTGAGCCAACTTACACCACGCGGACTATGAATGGACCATGGACCGCGGCAGCAGTCTGCCCCCCCTCCCGGTACCACTACCAACCAGTGGGACCGGACGGGTCGTCGGAGCAGTCGGAGCGTAGCGGCCGGGCCGTGAAAAGGCTTTCAAGGGTTCTATTCAATCAGAACCGCCGACCACTGCTTCCTCCCGTCCCGTCCTGTGCTGCTGCCCTAGCGCTAGCCAGCCCGCCATGGCACGCGCGGGTCGCAGTGTGGCCGACGCCACGATCGCGCGGAGGCTGATTCGCGCTGTCTCTCTCGCTCCCGCACGACGGCCAGCAAAAGTGCGACGGAGACGGAGCGACAAACGCCGCGTTCGGAATCCAGCCGCAGGCCCATGGCTGCTTGGCGAAGTGCAGGCCTCGGCCATGCCTCTGCCGCCCCATTGTCAGAATGTCAGGCTGCGCCCGCTGCGCCACTGCCAATGGGAGCCCCACGGCGCGGCGCGGAGCGCGGAGCAGCAAGGCCGACGCGGGCCGAAGTGGCTGCATCGCATTGGATTGGATCGGAGGCGGCCAGACCGACAGCACGCTCGTTCCGAACTCGCGTCCATCTGCGTCCTCTCTGGGGTGCGCGAGAGAGACGGCACTCTTCGGAGGCAGCCCGCCGGGCAGACGGGCAGGCAGGCAGGCGGGCGACAGGCGGAGCGAAGGCGCCTGGCGGAAGTGTCCAAGTCATATCCATGATATGATACTCACCCGTGTGGATTCTTTGGTGGGCCTTGAGGTGGGAGCTCTTGGTGTACACCTTGGTGCAGCCTGCAACACAGTCCACATGTCATTCGATATTCGATCCGCCTCCGGTGGCGTGGCTGCGGCAAGGGCTGCGGCGTGGCGGCGAGCATCACTGTTGCGTCACAAGCACAATGCAGACGAAGGTGGTACTCACTCGGGAAGTCGCAGTGGTGCACTCTTCTCTTCTCCAGCTCCGGGTTGTTCCTCCTGTTGTACTTTGGTGTGGCGGGGGTGCTGCTGGCGGGGGCGGCCGGCCTTCCGGGCTGCCTACCCCTGCCGGGGGCGCGCTGTGGCGGGGGCCGCGCGGGGGGCGGCGGCGGGGGCGGCGGCAGGCTGGAGGGGTAGGGGGGCGGCGGCGTCCGCCGGGGCACGCTGTTGCTCGGCGAGCCCGGGTCGGAGGCCGGCGGCGTGGGGGGCGGGGGGAAGGGCAACCGCTGCAGGGGGTGTGGCTGCGAAAAGGAAAGGGTTCCATTAGTGCCGGGTTCGAATACCGGAGTCGGAGCCGTCGATTTTGGTTTCGTTCTTCCTCACCGACTGCATGGGGTGCGGCCGGTGCAGCACGCCCGCGGGGCCGGCGAGGGGGTGGGGCTGCGGCTGCAGGTGAGGGGGTGGTAGGGGCTGCAGGCCGGCGGGCTGCTGCTGGGGGACTTGGTGCACCTCGCCCATCATGGGGTCCTCCATCACCTCCATCTTGATGGCGGACATGGAGGTGAGCCCCGTGAGCCCGGTGAGCGAGGGCAGCCCCAGCATCTCGGCGTTGTCCGGGTCCAGCTTCTGGATGGAGGAGGTGATGTCCTCCCACAGCGCGGGCGGCCGCAGGAACACTTCATCGTCGTGCTGCGGGTTGGTGGAGCAGGAACCTGCGGCAAACGTGGCGGTCAAATCGCGCCGCTCCCTTTTGCAGTGGCGGTGCACTGGCGGTGCCGGACCGTACCTGGGGGTGCGAGCCGAGGCCCTGGCGGGGGTCGCGGCCACTCGAAGAACTCGTCGATGGTGGAGGCCGACTGCCGCCTCGGCTTGTCCAGGTCATTGTCGAACGGCAGCGGCAGCCTCTGCAGTCGCTCCAAGTCGGGCCGCAGGTCGGGCCGGCACAGCAGCGCGTCCAGAGTCAGCTCATTCGACTGCGAGGAGAAAACAACAAAACTCTCAAAACATGGCGGGGCACTTCCGGCGCGCTGCGGCTGTGTGTGTGTGTGTGTGTGTGTGTGTGTGTGTGTGTGTGTGTGTGTGTGTGATGGGCCTATCGGAAGGACGAAGCGATTAATATGTCCAGGGATACTTTAGCGATCGCTTATCTTTACTGCGACGCTATTGGCCGAGAGCAGCGCGGTGCAGCGCTACACCGTTATGCATTTGGCGGGCATAAAACACGCTGCGTATTGCACGCACACACATACACACACACACACGCGCGCACGCGCCGAGAGCCGAGATACGATCGAAATGGCGCAGGGGGTAGTGAAAGCTGCTCGTTGGTGCACCCCGATGATGCATAGGGCTCGGCGAAGGCGGCAGATGCAGCGCTTGCAGCCGTGGGCCTCGCTTGCTCGAGATGCAGGTGCAGGGCAGACGTTCCACGGCCCAGATTCCTTGAGGTGAGGTTGGGTGAGGTTAGGTTGGGTTTGAGCGACACCAGAGACCGTGGGCAAGCAAGCCGAGAAGCAAGCGCTGCTTCAAAGTTCGCCACGCGCCGTTGCCAGCAGCACCCTACGACAGCGGTTCTCAACCTTTCTCGGCTCGCGACCCCAAATTTGTAGCCAAAAATTTCCGCGACCCCCAGGAAAAGTTTCGCGACTCCACGGGACCCCTCCTTTAGCATGCCACTGCGTCTGATCCGAGGCGGGCATTTTGCTCCCTCAACGGGCAATTGGTCTTTGGACCTTCCTTTAGCATGCCTCTGTTACGGAGTGCGATTATCAGTCTTAGTTTGGGAGCAGTATTGTCTCAAAGTTGGCCAAAACGCTCAGAAATGTCTTAAAAATCATGTTTTGGGTCGATTTTAAGCAGCCACTGCGTCTGATCCGAGGCGGGCATTTTGCTCCCTCAACGGGCAATTGTTCTTTGGACCTTCCTTTAGCATGCCTCTGTTACGGAATGCGATTATCAGTCTTAGTTTGGGAGCAGTATTGTCTCAAAGTTGACCAAAACAGGCACAACGATTTTTCAAAGACATTTCTGAGCGTTTCGGCCAACTTTGAGACAATACTGCTCCCAAACTAAGACTGATAATCACACTCCGTAACAAAGGCATGCTAAAAGAAGGTCCAAAGACCAATTGCCCGTTGAAGGAGGACGAAATACCGCCTCGGGTCAGACGCAGTGGCTGCTTAAAATAGGCCCAAAACACGATTTTTCAAAGACATTTCTGACCGTTTTGGTAAACTTTGAGACAATACTGCTCCCAAACTAAGACTGATAATCACACTCCGTAACAAAGGCATGCTAAAGGAAGGTTCAAAGACCAATTGCCGGTTGAGGGAGCAAAATGCCCGCCTCGGATCAGACGCAGTGGCTGCTTAAAATCGGCCCAAAACACGACCCCAGCTACCTCGCCGCGACCCCTTAAAATTTTTTCGCGACCCCACTTGAGTTGAGAACCACTGCCCTACGAAGTGGTTTCCGCACTCACTCTCACATTCACACACACACACGCGCACGCCGCGGAGTAGGCCGGGCCGTCCTCAGACGGCGCGCGACGCGACGCGACGCCTTCCTTCTCCTCGTCGCCTCGCTGCTTCGCGTCGCGGCTAATCTGAAATGATGCAAGGCGCCGTTAAATGTTGCAGGCTGGCCAGGCTCTTTGGCTCGCCCGGTCCGCGGGTCCGCCGCCACTCCACTCCGTTTTGCCTCCATATTTCCCGCGCCAACCACCACCACACTGGCGGGACGGGGCTGCCCGCTCTGCCCGCCTTGCCACAGTGGCGCCCCCAATTACCGCGCCGGCCGGACGGAAGCGGCGCTTCCATCATGCCGTCGTCTCCCTCGCACTCGCGCGGCGGTCCACAGTGGGCCAGAAGACCGGTGGAGGCGGCAAAAACTCTCGACGCGTTTTCAGCTGCAGAGTCACTAAACAGGCCTCGAATCGAACGTGTGACCCCACCAATGGATTCCTCGTTCGGAGCGCAATCCATTGATGGGGTCACACGTTCGGTTCGAGTCCTACTTAGCGACTCTGCAGCTGTAAACGCGTCGAGAGTTTTTGCCACCTCCACCGGTCTTCTGGCCCACTGTGCGGTCCGCCGGCCGGTTGACACGCGATGGATTGGCCGGCCCGCGCGCCTCAATAAAGGACGACAACACGTCGCGCCGCCTTGCAGTGGGCCAGCCGTATCGCGGGGCCGCGGAGCGGACGGGCTGATGCAATTGGGAAGCCCAGTTGCCGCTCTGGGTTTCCTTCGCTACTCTAATCATCGCCCCCTCCCCCTTTTTCCTGTCGAGCAGTGGCGCCGAGGAAAGCACGCTCGAAAAACACAGTACAGGCACTCACACAGACAACGCAGACTGCGACACTGGCGCACACACACTGACTCTTTCCCGCTGCGCTTTAGGCTGGCTGACCATAGGCCGGCGTGTTCCCACCGCCACGACGATGAAGACGACGACCAAGACGACGACTCGGAGATAAATAAGTTCAAGGACGGCAAATTCCTAATTGAGCCATTCAAGTCGACTTTTGCCTGCTTTAGCTCCGCCGGCGCCATTGTTCCAGCGGCACGGCGCCTCGCCGCTAGCCTCGCTACAGCCTCACTAGCCTGGCTAGCCTCGCTCCGGGCGCGAGCCTGCGCGAGCCGCGCGTCCTTGTACGGCGAAACCCAGCCACAAAAGAAAAATTTAAAAACAAAATTGAAAGAATTTGCAGCTGTCCATAAATTGTCGGATTTGTTCTCTGGGTGGTATCGGCGGGGCGGGGCGGGGCGGGGCGGGGCGGGGAGGAGCGGTCTCACGGGAGGCTGGTGGATCCTCATCCCCGGATTGGCCAGGATGGCAACCAATGGCGGATTCGGGATTCAGCGGATTTGAATTTCAAACGAGCGAGGATCTGAGCGTGACGCGGCGATGACGCCCCCCCCCCTTTTTCCGCAGTGCCCACGCCGCGATGCCGCGCGGCTCCCTGCGCCCGCGCTGCTTACATGTTGCGCGAAAGGAGGAAGAGGAAAAAAAAAAAAGCGCCAACAAAGTGGCTCGTAAAATGTCGCTCGATATTTCGAGTGATAATGCCGTCCGCCTTCGGCGCGCGAGAACGCATTTGCTTCTAAAAGGGAATCGCAGCGGAGAGGAAAGACAAGAAAGAATGCGCCTACCGCTGCGGAGCGCCTGCGGAGCGCCTGCGAAACGCAGCATAGGCCGGCCCGCCACGCGCGGAGGTGCGGCGGGGCGGTCTACCTCCCAGGCGCCCGGAGCGTACCAGCGTAGCGCGCGTCGAGGCGGGTGGGCGTCGACGATGATGGCTGCTCGTTGTCTAATCGATACAAGGAGCCCAGCGGCCTCGGCCTAGAGGAGGCCAGTCGCTTAGAATCTCAATTTGGGCAAGTGGTTCCCTTCCCCTCCCCTCTACCCCCAGACCGCAGCCTAGCGCAGCTAACGCGGACGCAGAATTATTAATTACCTACACCCGAATGGCATCGCCTCCGCGCGGTCGGGGCGGGGCGGGGCGGGGCGGGGCGGCCACCGCGGTCAGTATGCATTTTACTCGATAATAACAACCCATTATGCTCGGCTCGTTGGCATGGCCACGCTGAAAAGGACCTAACCATACAACCACGTGTCGAAACCACCACCCGCACCGCCACGAGCGAGTATGAGTACGTGTGTGTGTGTTTGTGTGTGTGAGGGCTTCCCCGCGAACGTCAGCAGCACCCGTCCCCGTTGGGTTTTGTGCACGCGCTCGAAAACAGGCCATTCATTATCGGCTGTTAGCGGAACGGAGCGACACCAATTTTTGGTCTGGGAGTACAGTTCAAACAGTCACAGTCGCGCGTTCTACTCGCCGTTCCTCCTTTAAGCCCTTTTTCCCCACCGCCGCCGTTGCATGCAGTGCCCAGTGTCAACCCAACATATCATTACACTGCGCAACGACGCGTTTTGCGGAACTCGAGACGGTTTCTGTTCGTCCTTTTCGAAACTGTTTTCGAGAAGTGCGTAAAGCCGTAAAGCAGCGCTGACGTGCCAGTGGCGTGCCGCGGTGTTGTGCCGGTGAAGCCGGCATCGTCGCGACGCGTGCCGCTGAATGCGGCGACGGCTAAGAGGCGCATTTTATTTTCATGTCGGCCACGTCCCGCCCCACCACTTTGTACCGAAACCAACACCGAGGAATGCGTTTTCCACAAAGCGTATTTCTCTCTGAGGCTCGTGTACTCCACGCACTTTTGCAACACGCGGAAAGGGCGGAGGAAGGGTCAAAGCGGTGGAACAGAAAAGGGGCAGGCGAACACAAACACGGGGAGGAGGAGGAAGACGGCAAGTGGGACGACGCGCGCCAGTTTTACGGTGTCGCCGCTAAACGGTTTGGCGGCTGACGGAAGGTGGTTCTAATCCCGCGGCCTTCCCCGCCTTCCCGGCCACGCACACGCCGCGGCTACTCACACTGCATTCCCCGCGCGGCGGGGCGGGGCGGGGCGGGGCGGGGCGGGGCGCCGTGTGCCATCCCTCCGCGCGACAGCCGAACGCGCAGGCCTGCAGCGCCACGGACTTGTAGCGCTGCAGCAGTGGCGGCAGTGGTTTCGAAACGCGCGCTGCCACACACGGTGCAACACACACACTCACTCACTCACATACACACAACAGCCTTTTGCTTCCAGTAGGTCACAGGCCGACGCATATTGTGTATGGGACACGTGTGAGCTGTACCGGCGGTGGTCCTCCTGTTTCTGTCTCTCTCTCTCACTCTCCAGTGTCATCCGGTGCGCGACCCCTTTTGTTCGTCACCATGAGTATGCGTCCGTGAGAGTGCCGGCCGGCCGGCCGAGCGGTTGGCACCCCTATGCAGCAACAACAACAACAACAACAACTAGAGCCACAAAAGCCGCGCGACAAGGACGGCAAGTGTGTGACACTGTCTCTGTTGCACGGGCTTTACGAGAGACACAACATTGTCTCGGGTCGTAAAGGGGCATAATGAATC